ACCAATAGATTTCACGACGGATTATCAACTGCAGCCTGTCATTGCATAACACAGATAACAAGTTAGAAATATACGGAGGTTTGAACTTCGACAGAGATAATCAATGTAAAACAGCAAGATCATCGTAGACTTCACATAGACTAATCAATAAAATGGTAACTTCAAAACTTCAGCAATACCGCAATCATTATCAAAAGGTCTGCATTGAGTTCGCGTGCCGGCGTTTGTATGGGGCTGGATTAACATGGAACACAGAACTGGCGAACCTCCAGTAAGTCCTCTGCCTTCTGAAGATATTTTATTGTGTCCAGCATGAAGCTGGAACATCCATTAGCCGCAGGCGTGATAACGGGGTTTCGTTGGCCTTGAGCTTCCTCGGTTCATTGCGCTCCATTCTAGGGAGTACTCTGCATGGCCTCTGAGCCACGAGGGTAGGGTTATTCGCTTGTCCCTGGCTGCGATCACGTTGGTGACAGTTGACTGTACCGAGCGAGGCTTAATGTTGTAGCATCTGCGTCACTTCTTACGACGCCAGGTTGTGCACCACCTCGCCAGACAACGTGCGAACCTAGTGACCCAGCGCAGCGTCGCCCGTCCTCCTCCGTCCACCGGCCACCTTGGTTCCTCCCCCCTCGGCAGAAAGAGTTTCGCACTCCTCCCCGTGCATGAATTTACAAAAGCTGCTTTGGTCTTGATTAATCTTCTGGCGCAGTTTCCGAAATCCCACAAGCAGCGGTCGAAAAAGTCACCCCCACGAGGGGTGGCAACCGCATGAGTCGCGGTCATGGCTCTCTCTCTCTCTGCATCAACAAACTCTCCAACCTCCCCTCTTTTCAGCCTCCAGCCTGGGTGGCATAATTAGTCAGAGAGGGGGGGGAGAGGGATGAAGCGCCCGAGTAAACGCTGCTTCCAGTGCGAGGACTGGTGAGACAATCTGCCGGAGTAATCTTCACGCTAATTACCAACGCCGGTGATGAAATCACAGGCCCTAACGACTGCGGTGAGGAAGATCAAGCCAGCCCCGAGCCAAGTGCGAACATTTATAGCAAATGTTGGAGCTGCAGATCCCAAATACGTGTACGATTGGCTGTATGCCAACGTCGTTCTGTGAATATTACAAGGTCTTTGTGTCAGCTATTGCTGTATCTGACTGGGGCATGAACCAAACGCGCTGGATGAATGAAATTCTCCTTCGCCTTAAAAAGGAGCTTCTTTAAGTAGCTGCTGAAAGTATTAGTGAAGTGGATGCCTACCTACATCTTTCTTGAAGTTGGAGCATCCGTTTAGAAGCAACTGATGGTGCGTGGGGTTTACGAGGGAATTTCGCTCGGAGACCACCACATTTATAATGTTCATAGAGCTATTAGCTTCCAGTCAGATCATTAACACCACTTTAAACAGTAAAATATAAGACATTTTGGTTAGATCGCAGTTGGTAGCCCGGACCCGCATTACAGATGGCTTGGGGGTTTGCTTACTGGAGTTATTTTGTGGGCCTCCATAGTCACATCGGACACATTTGGCTTCCGTTTTACGTTTGAGGTTAGGATTAGGGTACCGGTTAATGATTCAGACTTTCCGGTTAGGGTTATGCCTTTAGGCTTCGGTTTTCGGGTTATGGTTAGGGTTTGAGCGTACGAATAGGTTCCAGTATTACGGTTAGGCTTCTCAGTTACGGCTATGTCTAAGGGCCTCGGTTACGTTTACGATTTCGGCTAGGGTTAGGGTTGCCGTTAGGGTTAACGGTTAACGGTGACAGTTGAGGTTAGGGTTAAGGTTGGGATTAGGGTTAAGGTCGCCGTCCGCTTCCCATTCCGGGTTACCAACTGCGATCTAGGCAAATAAAATTCCGCAATAAAGTATGTCCTGTTTAGTGTGTACATACGTAAATTATGCTGGTGTTTGAGGGGACCAAACGCTATCTACCTTTTGAGTCTTCGACAGCCAACACACAAACTCCCACTGAAGACATGTGGGCTGAGGAATGATGAACAACTTAGGCCATATAATTTTGCCAGAAGAGCTTTTAAGAAGTCCTACTGGGAAGACCGTTAATGAATTCCTCTTAACAGCTGCGAAACGCTGTGTTTCCTTCTTTAATTTACTGGTTTGGAAGTCGACGTAAAACTAGGCGACTAAACTCATTCATGAAAACAGAAATGAGCATGTGCGTGTCCTTAAAGCTTTCATAAATAAACGACGCTTGAAGAACGCATAAACCACTAAATGACTGATGTCTGACTTACCCTAATGACTGCTTCTATTCCAAAAAAACCCAGTAATTTGATATCCTAATTCTTTTCGTCCGATTGCCTCTTAACCGATGTGCTTGAAGGTTACGGCATTAGCTCTTAACCCAACCAAACCCACCTTCTACCCAATAAACTTCCATCCTGGGAAAGCCACTTATACTGCAGAGTGATTTGAATGTGGGGAGGTACAGGAATATGACCCTCGTATTATAGGTTGTTGCGAGCCAAATTCTATGGAGTTGAGGGTTATGGTTGGGACGTTAGATGCTAGGCTCGAGGTCGGTTTTAGTGTTGCGGTTAGGGTTAAAGTTGGGAGGCGGGAATAAATAATCCATTGGAATTTAGCGCAAGGCCACCTGTATCTTGACGGTTCACATTCCCGTGTCCGACCGTGTTTTATAACTTGTTACCTGTCTTTTATGTGATAAGGCGTGTGTTTTTCTGAAAGGTCACCAACCGATGGGATAAATTGACCCCTATTAAGACTAAGAACAAGGCTCTAACGGTGTGTGTGTTTCTTATGCAGTAAGTGGGCTAACTCATGAAATGTCAACCGAAATTCCGCAATGCGTTTCCGTATCGAAAAGATTAATTAAGTAGGGTTGTAAAATTAGTCAGCCTGCAACATATTTTATAATAGGTCAGTTATCTCAGGATGCCGGCTTTCGAACGAATTTCCGTCGGGCTACATACAAAAACTACACCCTGTAAAAAACAACTACTTATGTAGAATGCATTTTTCTCATTGATTTTCGATGCCCTTAGATGTCCTAGTATATTTCCTGGAAAACATGCATAAAAATATCCGTTTTCCCGCTCATTCGGTAGATACTTAGGTCTTCTTCTAATTTCATACTGGAAGGGGGGACATAATTCGGTTTTGAAAAAGTTTTCCAACTCCCGAAGAGTTTAGAACCCGCTCTACCGTAACACATGGATTCAGGGTTTCCAAACTACAAGCCGTATATTTTCCGCGTGCGGAAAACCACACATTTCTGTACGAAAATAAGGGGGGACCATATATGGTTCATAAAATCAAGCAGTGAATTTGGTCCATGTTGTTAACTTTACAAGCCACATTGGTAGATGCAGAGGCATGACGATTTATGAACGGCCGTTTCACGATATTTAAAAGTACCACGATTAAAAACTTTTAAAGTCGAATTATGTCCCTCCTTCGAGTATAAGATTGGAAGAAGACATAATTATCTGCCGAATGAGCGGAAGAATGAATATTTTTATGTATGTTTTCCATGAAATATAATTGGACTTTTAGGGACACCGAAAATCAATGAGAAAAATCCATGCTACTTAAGTAGTCAATTTTTACAAAGTGTAGTTTTTGCATGCAGCCGGAAGGAAATTCATTCGAAAGCCGGCATCCTGAAGTGACTGAAACATTATAGAATGATGTCGCTGACTAATTACTTTTACAACCCTGCTTAATTTATCTTTTCGAAACGAAAATGCATTCCGGAATTTCGATTGAGCACTAGACCACGAGTTCGTTACCCTGTCGGTTTCGATCGGTAATATACAATGGTGGAGAGGCGCTCACCGATCGTTCTTACGGAGCTCACTCGTTCCGTTGTGCCTTACGGGGTCTCTCTCGAGCCCAACCAGCAGCCACACAGGGACGCATGATATAGGCAGTATGGTATGGTAAGGTACAGCGGAACGAGTAAATTTCATAAGATAGATCGGCGAGCGCTATTCGGTACCGACATATACGACCATACTCGAAGTTTATACCTCGGTCATGTAACTTGACTTTTTGACCATGGCAGACGACAAAAAGCTAGAAATGGCCATTTTAGTGTCTTTCTTCTTGACTATTCACTGTTATTCGGCACAGACCTTTTCAGGAACGGTTCGAAATTTGATATGAATAGTTGAGCTGAAATCCATCAGCTACTGCGGAAGTAAGAGATCGTTTGATTTCAGGAATGGATTAGGACGAGCATGGCTGCAGATGAACAGAGTGGAACTATGCAATTATTTACCGTACTGACAACACAGGTACAAGGTAAAAGCCCAAACGCTTATGTTTCGTCAACCTTGTGCCGCTGCCTGACGCAGCTGCAAGGAAGCCGGCTCATCAGTGGGACACCCAGCCTCCACCGTGTGTTTTCTGGCTTATTTAAACCAGTTTTACCTTGTCTTTTTTTAATTTCCGAGGAAATTAATGCGCTAACATGGAGTAAATCCTTCGGAACAGACCTTTTCAGGCGCGGTCCGAGGCGGTCAGGGGAATTTATGTGCTGGTGTTCTCGAATTCAAAAGCAAGCTGGCAGGGAACTTTGCATGGAGGACGCTCCTGCAAGACAGCGCAGGTCAAGATGATAATATCTGGTGTACCCGCCGTGGTCATACATCACCCCAAGGCCCCCGGAGAACTGGGAAATTGGCCTGAGTAATGTTAGTCTTTAAGCTTAATCTGCTGTCTCTGACAGCAGAGACAATTCCGCTTCGGTCTCAACTCGTTGTACAATTTGACCGGGAAAGATACCAACCGTAGATTCAGAAAGCTGACATGCCGTTAAAACATCCTTTGAAGGCCCTCTAAAGAAATCCGTCAGAGCGGGAGAATTCTTACTGTGGTTGTTTTCCCCTTCCTTTCTTCCACCCTTACTGCCTTCCCTCCTCCTCCTCCTCCTCCTCCTCCATCATCTTATCCTTCTGGCTTCATGGGCTTTTTAGTCATCCGGACGTTCTAAGCTCCGCACATGTTCACATGAATCTTATGAACTAGCCATAGGAGAGCGCTCCTTCATCATCATCATCATCACCATCATCATCATCATCATCATCATCATCATCATCATCATCATCATCATCATCATCATCATCATCATCATCATCATCATCATCATCATCATCATCATCATCATCATCATCATCATCATCATCATCATCGTCGTCGTCGTCATCATCATCATCATCATCATCATCATTATCATCACCACCATCATCATTGTTGTCGTCGTCGTCGTCATTAGCATAATCATCATCCCTCTCCTCATCCTGTTCCTTGCCATTATTATCTATCCCTCTTTCGTGAGTCCTCCTGCTAGGTTTTTCCCGATTCTTCGTGTCCCTTCTACAAAGTTCCGCCTCTTTCGCTCCTTTTCTCTCACACCTCCAACTCTTCCACTTCCTCTTACTCCCACACTTTTTTTCTACAAAACTCTTCCCTTTCAGGACTTCCTCATCTGCTCCTTTACTGCCTTCCTCCCCTCCTGCGCCCCTCCTTCCTGTCATCAGTATCTGCTGTCCTTTTCTCCCGCTTCTTCCTCTTCTGCGTTGACTGTTTTCGCTCTCAACGGCTCGCGACAGTTCCGTCCACCAAAGGCGGGTCCGGCGCAGCCGATTTTCTATTTCCGGCCATCGGTGGGGGGAGGGGGGGGTAGTAAACGTTACACCTCTGCTGACCACCTGAGTGCACTGGGTGCACGTATTTGTGCATGCAAATGTTTTTCGGCTGGTAAACTTCGAAGTGCACACTGAAGGGGAAAAATAACCGTCTTCTGTCCGAACAGCTTCTTGCAAGTATGTGCGCTTTACCAACCTCCTGCGTAGAGACCACAGTTGCTGTGTGAGTGTATCTAGGTTCTTTTCACTTATTTCAATGGTGTTTGTTTCAAGGTTAAACCCCTTTTCAGAGAGGGTGCTGCTCCTTCAAGCAAAACTGGCAGTTTTCTTCAAGGCGCTTGACATAGGAAGCTTGGCCATGTCAAAATTAAGGCGGAATGTGCGGGACATACATGCCTCTATTGGTTGCTTCAGTTTAAACACGGCCTTTTTTCTCGGCCATTTTGTAAACTGATAATGAACATGGGTATATAACTAAAAATATGTTAACTATGTACTTTTTAAAGCATTTCAGGACATAGTGGGTTACTTAACAGTTAAATAAAAGAAAACTAATCGCCGAACATACGTTTGCTACCGACAAATTCTCTTCAGGCCATTACGAGAAGGGGGTTGCGTAAAATACGTCAGTGACTAGAGAAATCGATTAAAGTTCGTAGGCGAAGTTTGATCGATCACCCTAGTCACTAACATGGTTTATTCGACCCGTTTGCATATAAATGTATTGGCCCAACGAGAATTTATGGGAAGCAAACGTATGCACTCCAATTGGTCTTCTGAATATCGTTACGAGAATTTTCGCTACTCCAAAGCAGTTAAGTCTTAATTTCATCACGAAAAACTTCCATGATGTCTGTTAGCTTTGAGCGGAATTTTGTATATTTACTGCATTTTAGATGTCTGAAGATGGGGTTTTCGAAAAAAAACTCTGTCCAAATGCTTCGCGAGTACTGCTGCTGGCGAAAAAAATTTGTCAGAATAAAACGACTACCTTTTATGGAGACGTGCGTTCAATAAATTTTCTCGGATTTTTAAGAATACTAGGAAATTTTTAGACCTGATCGAACTGTAGTAATGAAAGGCGAAAATATTTCTGATGGTATCATAGCTGCCACATATGTTATGTCGCAAAGTATCAACTACAGCTGGTGCCAATGTTTCTTGGTCAGTTTAGATACAACCGTTTACTTCGTAATAGTCGAATGAGTGTTTAAGCCGCAGATCGAGTGGATTTCGCGAAATAAGCATAAAAAGTGTCGTGCTAAAAATTCTGGAATTGGAATCAAGGTAGACATCAGAAGACAATGAGCAGATCTACCTCGGAAGCATAGCGTTCTTATAAAGACCAAATTGTCCTTGACTCAGGTTAGATGTCGAATAATATCGGTAGTTTTAGGATCTACCTCTTACAACGCAATGTTAAACAAACCTCGTCGTCCGATCCATTCGCAACTGTCGGTCATTTGAGAAACCAAATTGGAAAAATTAAAAATGAAATATTTCGCATGGGAAAACGACTTTTCAATTTATTGAACAGATGGCGATTGTTTAGTCATTCAGTAATACGACGCCCCTGGCATTCTTACAGTGTACCGACAGTCCAACCCTCACGAACAGGGATGTCCACCGTGTATCCCATGGCGTGGTGGACTCGGGACTGTAAAACAGGATTGCGCAGCATCTGCTGCACTATCTCCTCCCTCATCCGCGAGGATCCTATGTGTTAAGGCGACCGGGGGGTGGACTCGGGCGTAGTGGCCAGACAAGCTAAACAACCCGTCTACACGTGCCACGTCCGACCTGGCTTCCACGGTGCGTACTGGGTCTCTATAAGGACTCCTCAGATCCCCTCTGGGTAGAGTGTCATGGTGGCCGCATTAAGAAGGGGATAATGACCGTTGCTTTTTAGTTTCCTTAGAAATTAACTGCGAACTTGGAGTAGATCAGGATATTTAAGGTTGGGTCTATTGATTTAAGGTACCGATCTACTCCAAGTCCGCAGTTAATTTCTAAGGAAATTGAAAAGCAACAATTGGTAAAGTGTTGTATCTGCCAGAAAGCAGACGGGGAATGCTGGAGGACCCAATGGTGAGCTGAAGCCCTCGCAGCTGAGTCATGCAGCGGCAGAATATCGGAGAAACACGCGCGTATGGGTCTTTGGCTACTACTTGTGCTGTTAGTATGGAATCACCCTACCCTAAAGGGACTACTGTTCTCGACTCTCCGTCCTGGGAGACCTGATTCACCCAGTCGGCCGGCAACCATCGAAGCACGGCTTTTAGCGCACCGTGCTAGCGTGTTAAATTGTTCACAGTAAGGAGCACGCTGAACTGCCGTGGTGATGGATTCTCCAGAGTCAACCTCCCTCTCTCTTACCTCTTCCTCACTGCCCGGGTCGGTCAGGCATTTGACGCTAGGGCTGCGGGCAGTGGCTGGCGTGGGGGGGGGGAGAGGGAGCTTATGTCTAGGCGTGTCACCTCACCCCTATTTGCAAAGGGCTTGCGCGGACTCAACGTGACATGCTATTAACACTCGCCCCCTTATGAACCCCTTGTTGGTCCTACACATCTGCAGCAACACCGAGTTCGACGACTCTGCCCCACAATAAGATTCGACAAAACAAGCCACTTTACGATATCCTTGGCTCTGTCGGCAAGAGTGGACACGGCAAGAAACGTCTGGAGTCGTTTATCGGATCTGGTGCAGTTGCGGACAAAGCAGCTACGTCGGAGAAACCGGAAGGCAGCTCCGAACGCGAATGGCCGAGCACGCTGCAGCGGTGCGGAGAACTGGCGCTAGCTCTCAAGTTGCGGCTCATTCGACGAGATCCGGCCACACATTCAAATTCGACGAGGCCGAAATTCTCGCTAGAGGTGACAACCGAATGAGCCGGGACCTGCTTGAGTCATGGTTTACTGGCCCCCAGTCCAGTAACAAGTGCAATGACCTTCCTATTCCATACTCGGTGCTGAGACTTCGCCTAGGCGGAGTAATTAGCCACGCGGGGAGCGTCCAAGTGAACATTTTTCCCAGCACCAGGGTCGGTGCGTCAGATGATCGAGCAATTATCACGACAACATCCAACGCACGTGATGAAATTGCAGCAATTAACGACGTGAATGTCGGCCACCAAACAATCGGCACACCACGTGCAACGATCTCTGATTAAGGGGGGAGCCGTGAATATCCATAGGTATGCGGTAGCATGGCGACTGTATCCTATAAATACTGCAGCCCCTTGTGCATGAATCACCCGTATCTGCTCTTGTCTCTGATGATGGATTCGAGCAGGAATCCGTAACCTCCGGCGAATAAAGCTCTCGTCCCAGCGATCGTGTCTCCTTCTTCAAGAGTGGACATTTACCAAAGGTGAACAGTTACATTTGAACAAAAGCTCAAACGAAAAATTCCCAGTTCAGCATCCACATAGATAGATATTTGACAGATTAGATGGATATTTATGTCAGACGAGGCTATGGTTGCGAAGATGGATTAGTATTTGAAATTAAGACATTCATCCTAAAATAGCTGATATGGGCAGGAGCTCAGATGGCAAGACTGACACAAGACTATTGCCGACATGCAAAACTGACGAATATGCACATGTTAACCAATTTGCAATTAGTTTCTGCAAAACTAGATAGGAATGTAATAACTTAGATCTGTCAGCAGCCTCCCCATTCTCAGTATCAGTTGGTTAACCAATCCGGGAAATCACATGGTGCAGAGAAGAAGGTGGGGGGGGGGAGGTAAGAGAGTAAGGCCGACGGTACCACTCACTACAAGCAATCTGACGCAGTTGAGACCATGATGGTGCACCAAAAGCTGTGGCTTGGAAGATTTACAACAGAACCTTGCAGTCCACCCAGTTGGTGTTCGAGCGCTGAACGGCTGATTGAGAGTCAGACTGCAATGGCTGTCCCTAAGTGTGGTTTTTTGACACTCCCATTCAGTCAGGATACGGGTCGTTCCTCTTCTTTGTTGTCTGAAGTCCTGGCCTCTTGTATGCAGACTAGAGGATGTAGGGGCACACCTGGGCGCGGCCTTACGCCGCGCCAGTCACCTGTGCCCCCTCCCGCCTCCGGTTTTCTTGACTCTGTCTTGACGCCGGGTCCAGGTGGGGAGTGGGGAAGAGGGAGTGCGGCAGATGCTGCACAAGTCTACTATAACTATAACTAATTCACCCGCAAGTCACCACCCATGTGCTCACCCTGCTGTAGGCACACAGTGAACATTGTCGTAATCACCGGTTCTAATGTCAGGTGGCACCAGTGCTGTTTGTTCCAATTTCATCATTTAAACAAACCAACTACACTCCCAATTCTACCCACTCAAGTTTCGATGCTTTTTATAGTCACTGCGACCCCCTGAAGTAGGTACAAATCCTCCTGAGCTAAGAAACTGGCGAAATTTCGAACGAATGTAACTCGTAACCCACCGTGATCACTACGAAAACATGCTCCCGGTCATGCAGGCTGAAAATGTTTCTTTTGAATTCTAGATTGGTTTATTTGCTGTTGTAAGCGTCCTGTCGGCTTGCCCACTGTTGGGAGTGCCTACACTCCCAAAAACAGGAGCCAGCCAATCACGGGAGGCCACGTGCGTTTTCTCTACTGCGCTGTTATCTTACTCGTGGCGCCTCTCCATTGGCTTTTCCTCTCGGGCCTGATCGATCTGCATATTCGAATTATCGATCGGCTCGTCTGGAATGTTCTTCCCGAAGGGCATTGGGCCAAATGCCAGCGAAGCACAGTAGGGCGTTATAAATATGCGTTACATCTAGTTAATTTTGACTAGCAATTTCCTAATACACATTTTCGTGGCTGGTCGCGTTCTCCTTCTCTGCCGCGTTGGTATTGGGGACAAGGGTCGAGTGCGTATACGCTCCACGGGATTTCAAGTACCAGGCGGGTCATAACACCGACCTCTTAGGCAGTGACGCAAGTGGCATAGCACAGTGTTTTAAGGAAATTCTAAATATCTTAATCTTCTTCTTCTTCCTCCTCCTCCTCCTCCTCCTCCTCCTCCTCCTCCTCCATGTGCACTTATTTGGGCTGGGTGTCCGATCGGGACGCAAGCTGTCAGTGTCCTTCCGTCTGTGTCTTCGGCACTGAATTTTTAATTTGATTCTGCAAGCTAGCTGATTTCAGGCAACCTGGCGCTTAACTTTATAAAAGTTGATCTTACGTAACACCACCCGAGGTTCTCTGCTCGCCTTGACAACCCAGTTGACTTTATGCCAGTGATGTGAACACGTATTTTCATGTTTTCCTCAGGATTTTAAGAGTCATGAACAGAGTTTGTCGTTCGTTTTCGAATTCGCTCCCCGAAGGAAGTTCATTGTTCTGTAGATTTCAGTCAGGCAAGTTCAACCATGTCTTACCAGGCGAACGAGAGAGGAGCAAGACACAAAAATATGGACCCTCCCGTACTACAGATGCCCTTGTGCTGCATTCCAGGGTTTCGGATTGGGGTTGAGTATGAGAATTAAAGTTAGGACTTGGGAATAGACACACCTTCGGAAATTAACGCAGGGCCATCCTTAGGACGGGCAGTACTTATTTTTGCGTTCAAATGAAAGCAAAATTTATCTTAACATATGACAAACAGGATGAAGAAAGGCAGGTCCCTATCGAGCCTGTCATTCACAGCGGCGCCGGTCCTCATCGGAAGACGGTGGGGCTCATGCTCATCGACAGAGCTAGTCTCCGCCTGATACAACTCGTCCTTATGATTCTAGGAACTACCGCCAACTTCCCAACTACTCCTCTCAGGACTGACCACCAGATTCTCTAAAATGTAGTCCTCGTTGATCAAGGCCAATTCTTGAGTCGCTTCTTTCTGCTGTCCAGCAAACGCTCAAGAAGCGCAAGCACTGAATTTCAAATCCACTAAACTGCAGATGCTCTGTTAATCGGACGTCTTTGTGTTCAGCCAGATCCAGTTGACCCGTTCATCTCTAATGTATATAAGACGACTAAGGATTGTGTGCTTATGCCATGCCACGCTTCGGTAAACCATGGCCTTCGCAGCCTGATGTGCGCTGGCAGTCCTCTGGCACTCGATCCTGCTGGGTATACAGCCTGTGTGCATGGTTGCCCAGTGAATTGTGCCATCCTTCTCTTTCTGACCTAGCTTAGAGGGCTGTGGCCCCTATGGCACCCTTGTGGGGTCCTAGCCGGGTATGAGGACACACCTAGGGCGGCATCGGCCGTACCAGCCGAGTCTAAATCCTCGTCTGTGTGTACTTTGGGCAAGAGTGTTGCTGCATGCCCAGTTGCAGGATCTCGCCGCGCCGACTTGAACTTCGGGCAGTCCTCCCTTTTTTCTTAATGTATAAAATCCTGATTAGTGCGCGTTATGGATCAGGGGGTGTGGTGGTACGCCCGGTTGGGGTTCATTCGCCGTAGCATCCACCGGTGCCCTCTCCAAGCGTCTTGACTATGTCCTGACACCATGCTCATGTGGGGAGGAGGAGAGAGAACGGTAGATGCTGCGCACGTCCACTCTCATGATCGACAACGACGGTTTAAATGCCACAGTCTGCCCTCATTACTGCTCTTCGTGGTAGCAATCCACGTTCACTAGTCGTAGCATGAGACATAGGACTAGTGTCATTGTCACGTATTCCTGAACTTTTGTAACCCTCTCCGAGGAGGTCATTTCAGTATCCGAGATGACGTCCAACAAGCTAAAAGTGTGCTTTATTATTCTGTGCACAAATAATTTGTCCATCGTAGAGGTGTTTTCTGGGTACGTAGTCTAAACGAAACCGCTTTTTCTCTTCACAACAAACCTATTATACAGAAGACAGAGTGGCGAGCGAACGTTGCTTTCGATAACTTCTCGTCAGGCCAGTACAGTTATATGGGACGGGGTGCAGTAAGTGAAAAAATCGATAAAAGCTAGTTTTGTTAAAATACAGGCTAGGCAAGAGAGGAAGGGTGCAGAAAGTTGTATGTGGTTAGTCAACCTTTGACGACGGTAAGCGCGGAGCCTGAACGGGGTTCTTCTGGGTGCATAAGATTGGTTTTCGTAATCTGATGGCAGCCGTTTCTGCTGTTGCTAACAAGCGCTGGCCCAGTAACTTAGGGTAGCTCGAGGGGACCTTACAAATCACACGAACAGCTTCAGTGTGATCCATACGATGCTCTGAATCCACTTCATGCGCAAGACTGGCGCTGTCTATTCTTCTTGTTTCACCTTTTGCCAGCTTTGTGGGCAGGTGCTCTTGTATTCTTTTGGAAAGGCGCCGACTCGAACGACAAATATAACCTGCTCCACAGGGACAAGTGAATGAATGGATGCACGTTGAGGCGACCTGAGGTGGCAGCCTATCCTTACCTTCCCCGCGTAAAATAGGGTTAGTAGAGAATGATATGCAAGCCCTTGTTGCACATTAAATGTGCAATTCCTTTTTGACAACCAACTCTATAGACAAATAGACGGCGTTGCTATAGGCTCGCCTCCTGGAACTCTATTAGTCGACGTCTTCATGGGCAAGCTGGGGAGATTTTAGCTAAGCGATCAAATCGAAAATCTTAAACATTACGGTCGCTACATTGATGATATCTTTGCGATTGCAACCACAGAAACCGACATTGCTGCCCTCCTAAATGCTGCCAACACATCAAATTCACGTTGGAGACGGAATCGGCCGGTTCGCCTCCTTTTCTAGATGTCCTTCTAAAAAGGAGATCTGACGGTAGCATCCGAAGGAGCGTCTATCGGACGAAAACCTGCTTTGAACAATACACGAACTTCGCTAGTTTCATACCTCTCCAACAAAAACGAAATATATTTAGGTGTTTGGCACAAAGAGCTAGAAAAATTTGTTCAACAGATAGTATCGAGAAGAAACGTAGAAAAATCCAGGACTTGCTTCGCGAAAACGGGTATCCTGACAGGTTGATTGAAAAGAGCTTTGCCGGAACCAACCGCAAAACCCACCACATTGACCGCCGAAAAGAAAACGTTGTTCCTCCAAGTCCCCCTCCAAGGAGACGCTGCAAGTGAACTCCTAAGAAGACGCCTTGACCAAGCTGTCTCGGGAAACTTCCCAGCAGCAAAGGCTCGCATATCATTCTCTATTAACCCTATTTTACGCGGGGAAGGTAAGGATAGGCTGCCACCTCAGGTCGCCTCAACGTGCATCCATTCATTCACTTGTCCCTGTGGAGCAGGTTATATTTGTCGTTCGAGTCGGCGTCTTTCCAAAAGAATACAAGAGCACCTGCCCACAAAGCTGGCAAAAGGTGAAACAAGAAGAATAGACAGCGCCAGTCTTGCGCATGAAGTGGATTCAGAGCATCGTGTGGATCACACTGAAGCTGTTCGTGTGATTTATAAGGTCTCCTCAAGCTGCCCTAAGCTACTGGGTCAGCGCCTGTTAGCAACAGCAGAAACGGCTGCCATCAGATTACGAAAACCAATCTTATGCACCCAGAAGAACCCCGTTCAGGCTCCGCGCTTACCGTCGTCAAAGTTTGACTAACCACATACAACTTTCTGCACCCTTCCTCTCTTGCCTAGCCTGTATTTTAACAAAACTAGCTTTTATCGATTTTTTCACTTACTGCACCCCGTCCCATATAACTGTACTGGCCTGACGAGAAGATATCGAAAGCAACGTTCGCTCACCACTTTGTCTTCTGAATATAGCTATGGGGATTTTCACAACTCTAAAACAGATTATCCTCAAATTACGTGACAGAGCAGGCCAATGGAACAACTGGTGTCGGATAATGTAATGCATTTTGAAGGTAAGGAAAAACGAGACTACATGGCTGATGCTGTTTGACGTTAGTTCCATAGTATGCTCATTCTGTGAGCCAAGTTTTACCCTATTCGTTTCTTCCTTTTAACCTCGATTACTGATCCAGCAGATTAGTGCATACGATTCGCATTTCGTGATAAATAACCGACAGACAATGGGGCAAAGTCTTTGGGACATGGCTTTCCACAGTCGGCCAAATGCTTTCGTCGATATCAGATTTAAAAGCCTCCAGACTACACGGAATGTCCGTATAATGCTTGCATTCGCAGACGTTGCGCAGAGGAAAACGTTTTAAATATTCTTCTGGCAATATGCGGTTATTCAACTGATGATGAGGATTTTCGATGAATGCTGGACAGGAACCTAAGCACTCATGATGCGATCCGTTTGTTGGATTCTGATAAAAGTACGAAAACCGTCATTTAATAATTGGCGTTAAAATGAACACCACATGCGGGATGTTAAACATGCGTCCGTGTGATAAAATCCTAGCATTTGCATAACGCAGCAGCAGCAGCAGCAGCAGCAGCAGCAGCAGCAGCAGCAGCAGCAGCAGCAGCAGCAGCAGCAGCAGCAGCAGCAGCAGCAGCAGCAGCAGCAGCAGCAGCAGCAGCAGCAGCAGCAGCAGCAGCAGCAGCAGCAGCAGCCGAAAACCCACGAAACACATGTGTGGGCGCTTAACTTGTACCTGCATTGAAGGCTCGATGAAGATACTTTTCGTGTGCTTACTTAAAACTCTCATCCTCATACCTAACTGCAGAGGAAAAGTTTATCCTTGAAAATTGCAGAGCGCAATGTTTTAGGACTCCGCGTCTTTAGGGGAAGCTTGATTTGCCATATGCAAGCACTCAGTTATCTGACATCACGACAATTCAAACATCAAACGTGACACCATTCCAGGCCATACACAGCACGTGAACGGTGCTCAGTTGCCCGAAATCTCTGACTGATAACACATTCTAAACTAAACCTTGGGTGGTCTAAAGCACGTGGGCAGAAACAAAGGAATAATGTGCTTTTATTACGACCTGACTGCCATTTTACTGAGAAAAATAAGTGGCACCCATGTTAGACGATGGAAAATAACACTTTTGAGGGCAAATACGACTGCAATCCCGATGGCAGTTTTAAAAGTTTCAGAGCGTGTAACTTTCCTTAATAACAAGACAAGGCTTGCTTTCATTTCTATATCTTAAAAGAGTGTGGATGCTACCTAGTTAAGTATAGAACGACGCCGTCATCTTAAATTTCTAAAAATCTTTTTCCTTCCAAGTTGACGTAAATAATTCATTGTGTGTGCGGGATGGAAAGTATATCTAAAACTCTAGGGACATGAACTTGAGTCCTGCAGACAGGGTGGCCTTTCCTCGTTGGTAAGGAAAAAAAACAGCACTGTTGAGCCGTGGTAGGGCGGGACAGAGATTTCAAATATGAGAAGAACGCCTATGAGGACTCAAGGGGCGACATTTGAGAAAAAACAGACCACAGTGATAAGATTACGTTCTGCAGAGCGACATTTTTTATTTTAAAGCAGTTGGAAGAGAGTCTGCACCGCGGAGTTTCAAAAAAGTCGTGCAAGGAATCCCAAGCGACCAACCGTAGGAGACTGGCTAGATTGCGGACGTATTTTTCTCTACTACCGGGAGTCCAATGCTGTGTGTGTACAAATAGTTGATGGTCACAAGATCGGAGAAAGATATGAAATCAGGACTGGAACAATACTCCCAGAAGTTATACTGCCTTCAGTTGTCCGTGCAAGCTGAAAGATGGTTCCCAGGTGAAGCTCAAAAAGTACTGTATTTGAATAATCGAACAAGACCTTTTGTTACCTGAAATATAGAATACATACGCAGGCCCACTCTCAGAGGGAGAGAGAGGTCGCAGACTTTACAAGCTGCAATTGCAAGTCCGTCTAGCGCATGTTAATTGACCTAGCCGCGTTTACATTATCGTGTCCCCTAGTGATGCAATACGTGCTTAGTCGGCTACGACGGAGACGGTAATCGTCATACATACACTGCCAGTTCTGGTACACTGAGTGACCGATCACATAAAATGTTGGCCGAAATTCTGAAATGTGTTTTCGATTAGGAAGGAATACTTAGGTAAAGCTGTAATATCTATTATCATGCGGCATAATCCTATAATATTTCGGACTGTATGAAAGGACAGTGCACGGTCTTAAAAATCTTATAGTTGGAAACTTTTTTAAAACCAAAAGGCAACCCTTCTTCGAGTATAAAATGTGAAGGCGGCGCGCTTTCTACCAAACGAGTAAAAGAAAGCATATTTTTGTGCATATTATCTATAAAATTTATTTGAATTTGTAAACCATCGAAAATCAATGTGAAAATGCATGCCACCTATGCAGAGGTTTACCGAGTGCGGATTCTGCAGGAGGTCGAAAAAAAGCACATTCAAAGGTCGATATCGTGGCGAGTCCGAAATATTATAGGATTATGCCGCATGATAATCAATATTACAACCCTACCTAGGTAGTCCTTCCTAATCAAAAACGTATTTCAGGATTTTGGCCAACACATTGTGAGATCGGTCACTTACTGTACTTGACGTGAACACTATTTGATAATTTTGCGCCGCCCATTCGGGCCTATTAACAGTGCTTGATTGCCCGCCCTACACACAGTACGTGACCTATCTCGGGAAATCTGATAGCGGAAACTGATGCGAGAATTTCTGGACGTCTTGAACGTTGCGCATTTTGTTCGCTCATCCACATCCTTCAATGAAATGTCCTTTTCTTGCGCAGAAATTGTGTTTACGTAATTATATCAAGTAAATTATCAGTCAATTAATGCGAAAATGGACGTTGGAATATATTTGTACAATTTCCTATACTAATAAATGTCCTAAACTCCGGTTACGCACCTGAACGACTTTTTCATTGGAAGGATAGTAATTTACCCGCGAGAGTTTTAATAAACAGATTTCGCGGAACCTGAAAATTTATTTCATGTCCGATGTTAACCGAGGTAATCAACCTGCTAACACAAAGGTTATCATAAGAAAACCAGGGTTTTATAAATTTCTAAAAGTCAAATTAACAGATCTATGCGATCTGGTGCCCTAAAGTGCAGTGCTAACGCAGATAGGGATTCCTTCGTTTACATGCGCTGAAATTGTTTTGCCGTTTGGATAATTCTACCTGATGACCACCGAATTGTCATTTCCAGTTTTGAACATATGAAATACTATTTGTCGTGTAGTTTAGCTACTGTGCAAGCCTCACTCAGAAATAGAACGAGCAAGACATAAATAGTTTCAGCAAACTATCAGTATTTATATGGGCGCTCTGCCTTGCATTCATAATCGAAGAACGGAGTCTAGAAGGGATCAAAATAGTGTAAATGGCCTCAATGCATAGAGCAAGGCATGCTTTTACGTTTACGGTAGAAGACACAGTATTGTTTAGGAACGTAAGAGAAACGGCCAAAAGTGTCAAATTTTTACCTGACCCCACCGTGCAAAAATGCAAAGTACACAGAGACCCGTCAACGGAGTGCAGTAATAAAGCACTTCTTGAAGAGGTAACTTATTAAGGAAAGTTTTCTTATTTATCGAAGTCATATTCGTTGCTGACTTTCTCTCTATAAGCACAAAATGGTATGTTTACGATCACGCCTGTCAATTCTATTTAAGTTCAGCGAATATTCCCATGTTACAATTGAAAAGTCAAATTGGCGAACATGTGTTTTCAGTAACTCTTCATCAGAACAAAACGGTTACAAAGAAGTTTAAGTTATGCGAATTACATGACTTATAAATGATTCGGGGACAATTAACATCCATCGTTCCCACGGGCGCTAGCTACAGCCGAGGCAGTGGCTATACGGTAGCCAATCCAGTGCTATGCTGTCAGAAGACTCTGACACAGGCGCTCTGTCTTCCTCCTGATGCCAGGGTGTATGCATAAGGTACCCGACGTACTCACAGTCTATGGTTCCCCTCTCCCTCGCCCCCTTAACCCAATGACCACGACACGCTGACCACGCCATAGCACGCCTCGTCATGCGAGTGGCGTGGGAACGATGAATGTTAATTGTCCCCGAATAATTTATAAGTCATGTAATTCGCATAGCTTAAACTTCTTTGTAACCGTTTTGGCCTGATGAAGAGTTACTGAAAACACTTGTTCGCTAATTTGAATTTTCAATTCTATTTAAATTTAGTAGGCACCGACCGGTCTCATGGCATGTCACCTTATGAAAAATTTTGTTCCTACAACGTCCCCATCGTTGAAATCAAGCAAAATCCCGTTTCTCTTGTTGAATCTCATCTCATTTAATTCAAAAGAGTCAAGGATAACACGAAACCCTGGAAAACTGTTTTGGAATCTACGCTCAGAATGTAGGCAGTTGACAGACCGTCATATATGAAATCACACTAATTATTAAACGAAAGTTAAAGGTAAACTTCACGTTATTTTATATCTACTGTCATATTTACTACGTTGTTAGTATGAAAATACATTCTATACATTTAAAAACGAAGCTTCCTAAATCAGAGCCATTTCTGACGCTTTCGGGATATTGCGCTTTTATAAAAATCGGCATTTCTAAACAATGCAACACTGTCTTTAATATTCCTCTTATGTTTTCAATTCTTTTAAACTTGTACATAAACACTGGACTCCTGAAATGATGTCGGTTTGCGAGTGATTGGCAATCATTCGTAAATTTCGAAACATTTCACGAGTTAGGGCACTAACTGTATGTGCAATAGCCTCGCACGAGCCATACCTTGCAGTTGCAAAGGCCAAGGGGATATCGACTCCTTTGATAACATGCTGTGGACCGGGAGACTAGGCAGCTTACGACTTTCACCCGGTTGTCGTTTCCCGATAGCATTTCGGCTTAATTACACGACGATTGATGGTTGCGCCTGCCTCTGTATGTGTGAACTTGGGCCTTAAGGACTGTGTGCGTCTCCTATGCCATTATTCGGGAAACCATGGCCCTCGGAGTCTGCTGTGCGCTGACAGTTCTCTGGCATCTGACCTCTCTGTGAAATTCTATCTGACGTATTCGCATGTTGTTCCCTGCCCTCTTTGTTTTAACTTTATTCACCTGATCTGAATTTGTTTGTTTGGAGAATTCTTGACTCTGACACTGGGACTGAAGTTCACCCCTGCTGCTTAAAATCGTCCCGTACACGTGTGTGACCCAGGCTTGCGAACGTGGGTCAGATATGGCTATGAAGCTCCACCTGAAGAAAACAAACCCCAGCCACATGTAATACGGACCGGCAGTAATAGGGGTTTTTACAGGTGGGACCAGTGAACGCACAGGCGACGAGGTCAAGTAGTTGTATGCGAAAGAAAAGCTATTGGGAATGCGCGGTTGCACTGTAACTGGTGGAGAAATAGCTGCGCTAACCTCAAACTTTAATCCCTAAACGCAACACCAACAGTATCATGTCCATCAGGTGGGACTACATAACCACATCTTACCATTTTTCGTTGTCTGGACTCTGCTGTTAGAATTCGGCTGACGGGTATTCTATCAGCAAGCCATGGTCCTCGCAGCCTGGTATGCTCTGGCAGTTCCCTGTCACCTGGTTCCCTGCCTGTAGATGCGCTTGCGCTCCCGCTAGGTATACCGTTCGTGAGCACAGCTACCCAGCCCTCTTCGTCGTCCTTCGGGCCCGTTATGCTGATGTTGTTGGTTAAAATCCTGG